GGGATTCTCCTCGGGTAGCTTTAGTTGAAAGATGAACTCGTCTGACTCCGCGCATCATCACACCCCCAAGGTCGGCTCGATAGGGAGTGGCTTTGTGGTCAGGTTGGGAGCCCCGCTCGCTCAGTCAGTTTCGGGAACGTTGTCTGTGACTAAAAGTGAGTTAGAAAACCATTTAGTTAAGCGAAACCTTCCTCTCTCCAACAGATTATTCGGCTGCAATACGTGTTGCGAGCTTTCTTTTGAGTCGTCAAAGACGCACAGGAAGTCGTTAACGTAGAAATTATTCGCAACTCTAGTTGACACAGAGGCCGGGAAGTTGTTTTTGTATTGCGAAGCTGTCCGCCGAAGTGCGATGTCTGTGCAGAATGGCAAAGAAACCGCTCCGAATGGATGAACGGTCGGTCTATAGTCTACCGCCGGGTNGCTGATCCTCTGGTATCTCACTTTGGAGGAACATCTCTCATATGTCGGCTGCCACTGCAACTGCTCATAGCCCGAAGCGGTGGAGCATGTCAGTCAAAGGAGTGGTCCAGTCCAGTCCCTGCAACAGACAATCGTTAAGGAAGAGACCGCCGTATCGCGCCCCATAGTCGAATGCTACGTGTATCTTCCCTGGCTTTCTGGGGTTTGTTACCGAGTGGTGTGGCAATTACCACAGTCTTCGCTCGCGTGGTTGTGAAACGGCCAATCGTTCTATGTATCCCAGTTGCACGTTCCGTTGCACTGCCGCGGCGTATGGTCGACGGAGATATGTGTCGCGTATCAGTCGCCTTTTAAGATACTCTAACCTTTTTAGGGCTATCCCGTGGTTGTTCGGCAATGGGTCGGATCCCGTCCTCCATGGCAACGCCACCTCGAACCGGTTGGGTTGGCATCATCTCCCTGTTTCCACTATTGCTAACGTCTGGTTGTCTTCTACGGAACAGCCCCCTTTCTGGTCGTTCAAGTCGTCGAACTCATTATTGTACATCCTTTGGAGAGCTTGTTTGATCGTATCGCTGCCAGCGGTGATAGTTGTGAGGTTAACTGAAAACGGTTTACGGTTTGTCGCATGTAGCGGTCCAAACAACGTCCACCCGAAAATGGTCGAGCAGCATATTTTTCTTTCTTGCCGCCCAGTTTCTAATCCAGGACCCAGTGTGCTTCTGGCACGTCGCATCTTATTAGAAAATCGACTTCGGGAGAGTCGGCTCCTTCGAAATACAAATCTCACATTTGTGACCAGCACGTTGCTAATTCCCCGATCGATTCCACTGATGGTATCGGCAAGTCGACGATGGTGAAAGCCTTCGTCACCTCTACTCGTTCACCATTATCTAGCAAAACCAACTTCACGTTGCTTGATGGGCGGAAGTCGTCTTGGTACCATTCACCGTGCTGATTGTCAGGGAAGATGATCGGGTTGTGGTGTTATGGTTTACGGCGAAGCGTTTGGTGATCAAAGTGGTATAGGATCCATTGCTAATGAACGCCGTCGCATTCACCACCCCACTGGGTGTTAATATGCCCACTTGTGTTACCACGAGACCTATCTGCTCGTCCTCCGATTGAGGTAGTAGACACACTGGGTTTTGGGGTGCTGGTAACTGAGTTTCTCATATAGAGTGCAAGAGGGTATGGTGGCTTCTGTGACACCCCTTTTCGCCGCATCTGCCAGGGTTCTTATAAGCGGCCGCACGATGTGAGCTATTCAAACAGATAAAGCACGCACCATGCCTCCTGGCTGCTTACCAACGGTCCGGAACTTCTAGTTGCACAAATTTCTCACACGCGGATAACTCGTGATTTAAACGATACATAGAGCAACTGGGTGTGCCACGTTCCCCTACTGCTGCATAGTTGTTTGCGCTTCTAGAACTTCTCAGAATCTCGTAAATTCGTTCTTTGACGTGATGTTTCTCTTCTTGCCTACTCATGCTGGCGAGTCCGGAGCGACTGCTAGCGACCTTGGCACGGTTTCGGATGAATTCCGTCAGCTCGGTGAAATTCGATTCCCTCCCTAAACGGCCAATAATCACCGCCTCCTCCGCCCATCGCTGTTGTATGTCAGCTGGCAGGCATAGCACTATTGCTTCAAGGGTGTGTAGAGCGTTCAAATCAGCTTCTTAGCTCATTTGAGTCAGGGCAATGGAACAGTTTTGCATCTTCATTACCAGTCTCACCAACTACTCGGGTTCCTTTCCCGCTTTGCGGGCCTCGGCTAGCACCTCGTCTATGAGCGTCCGTGTCACGTGAAACGGTTGTCCAAACCGCTCTTTCAGGATGGCCCTTGCTCGGCTATACCCAGTTTCCTTTGGCAGTATTACACATTCTTCGATAGGGGCCCGGGCTTTCCCTTGGCGGTAATGCTTTAGGTAAAGGAACTTCTGCCCTGGATCGGAAACCCAACAATCGACGAAATTATCAAATTCTCTAATAAATCTCCAATGGTTGCTAAGGTTCCGGCGAATGGCGTTAGCTTCAACTTGAGCAAGTCTATCGATGTGTGGTGGTACATTACTTCAATCAATGTTTGGGCCACTTTCAGCGTCAATCCAATGGGCAGGGTTTGTTTTTCCATCTCAGCGTGCTTAGTCGAGCAAGGTTGCATGGCCCCTGATACCCTGAGCTTCATCGACCTAATCTCCTGCTCTAACTCTACAATCTTAGGCAGATATATATCAGATATATTAACATCGCCATCACAGTCTAGGGCACCTCAAATTCTAGCACTAACAGGACTAACTGAACTATAAATGTGAGAATCATAACCCCCCTTCGGATTCCCCAGTGACTTGTCGGGTTACTTCCTGTCCTTCTGTATTGATCGTAGCAGCAGTAGTTACATGCACGAAATTCGGAACGCTAACCACGCAACGTGAATCACAGGACTCGAATCAATAATCAGCTATCACGGACTGGATCTCAGAAGCACTGAACCCCTGAACCACGGGTTCGCAGTGTTCCACAAAAACGAGACGCGAGGAAAATTACCACAGGAATGGTAGTAAGTAGTAGTTCGTTTATTGAAAGAAGTGAAGGTGATCAAATAATATGTACAAAGGGAAATTATTGGTTGTCTAGGACTCCACCAATCGAATTGCAGTGCTACTTGCATAATTCTGCTTCTGTCTGCACTGTGTTGGATTGGTTGGCACGATTCACCAGTGACGTGTATTCAGAAGCCATGCGCGTATCATTGACGTCAGTATTCAAATTTCATTGATCGCAAATGTCCTGAAACTGTAACTCACCACTCCAGGGTAGGCGTCATCACGTAGGCCTGGATCACCACAACTCTTCTCCCCCAAGAGAGGTTCGGCAAATTGGCTTGCTCTTCTGATGGGTCGTTGGAGAGCCAGTGCGGTATGCTCATCTGTAGACATTCCTGGAATAGGGGCTGTCGCCTTTGCCTTCAGTAAATGTGGACGGCGTCTCACAAGGCGGATTTTCATGAATGTCTTCGACGGAGCTTCTTCCGAAATGGAAGTTTCGTTGCAGTGAATTTGGTCAATGTCGCGTCGATGAACCATGGCATATGTCAGATCTGTGATCTCGACCATAGCCTAACCAATCTTGCGGTTAATGATTCCTCTTGATGATCTCAAGTCGTTTCCTCGGAAGTTTACGATGTTACTCGAAGTCACGTATCGTAGTGAGGACCAAAAGCTTCTGGCTTCGAACAGTTTCGTTGGGCTCTCTTTGGTGGTAACATGTGCGGAATTCCGGTATCGCAGCAGCAAGTTGTCTAGGAGTATCACCAACTCTTCAATTGTCCTT